CGCTAGAATTTATAGAATATTGTAAATATATATATATATATATATATATATATATATATATATATATATATATATATATATATAACGCTTGTATTAAAAGAAGAATGCAAGCTTTTGAAATGCATAATGAGAACAACTATTTTTATTTCGTTGTTGTTGTAATTATTATTATATTGTTGTTATTGTTGTTCGTTGATGATGGTTGTGATGATGATGATCGTCATCATAGTTAACAAGATTAACAGTATAACATACTTAAAATACATTGACAGAAATGACATGAATGTTTATTGTACTGCGTATATATGATGGCAGTATGTATGTATGCGTGTATGTATGTATGTTTGTATGTATGTGTGTCTGTGTCTCTTTATGTGTACATGTTTGTATTCGAGATTTTAGTAAGAAAAGAAAAACACAACAGTTGCTTTTATTTGACATCATCAAAAGATGAAAAGTGACGAAATTAAAATTTGTTAAATGTCAATTTTTTAAAAAGTTCAGATTTTAAACAAAAAAATATAACAAAATATTGATCGATAAAAAATAATTATCACGAAACATGAATATTTAGTAAGGACAGTTGACAGCATATCATAATGACTAAATCAACATACCAAACAGAAATTATTCATGCATGCATATATACAAAGTAAATCAGGAAATATCCATAAATTATATAACCAAAATAAGAAACTAGAAACCAGTCAACATTTTACAAATAAATAAATAGACATTATTAAAAAGATTGTTCAAAAATGGTAAAATTTAAGGCGACGACAAAAAAAATTGTAGTTTGTTTTGTTGGTGTTGTGTGGTGCTAAGAAGCGAAAACAAACACACCACAAAAAAAAATATTAAAAAGTCGCAAGAATAGTAGTCAGTCACCTACCTACAATTAAATTACTCTCAGGGCCCTAGCTTACCTGTAATGATAACTCAACTCATTTATTTTACATATTTTAACGTTTTAATTTTACTTGAAGCTTTTAATTTATGTTAATGTTAATATTTTACTTGAAACTTTTTAACTAATGTTAAGCCCTAGCCTACCTACAGTTGTTCAACTCATCTCAATCCCTAACTTACCTATGAATTAAATTAAGTCCGGTAAAGAAAATAGAAAGTTGAAGAGAAACATAACAACAACGACACCGAATGAGTGGATGTTGTGTATGTGTGTGTTGTATTTATGTGTGTGCGTGTATGTAAATGTGCGCGCGCGTACCCTCCAGAAACTTCTTCACCCACTACGGACGAACCTCCATTGCACCGACCATCATCTGACACGCACCGAGGAAATGAAT